AAGAGTTGAACTTGTTGCTTTTTATGTTTTAGTACATTATTTTAAAATCTCTAAAAACATTTTATCATCCATTAAATTTAAATTTTGTCTATTTTTAATTTTTTTTAATAATTACCTATTCTCTTTATGATTTCAAGTAATATACAAGACCCGAAAATAATATTTGTAAGTAAACCTAAACAATAAACAAGTATTTTTATTGTAACTAGGATTTCATGTTTATATATGTACATAAAAAACATTTTAATTTTGTTTCATAAATGTATTTTTATTTCAAGTTTATATTTCATTGCAGCAGTACTTTTGTTTGTTGTGCCGATTTATAAATCGTGAGGTTATGATAGAAAGAAAACTTTTTGGTACTTGAATATCATTTCTTTGAACTTTCAAACAAGTATATTTCAACATATGTCCTTGTATTTGGTTTCACTATAGAGTATAGAGACAAAACTAATTGCCAATACTAGTGAATGTATGTAACAGTTTACAGTAAATGTGGTTTTAATAACACTGCCTCACACTTGTTACTTGATACATCCTCTTAGAGGAGATTACCAGATGATACAGACACCACAAATTGAAAAAAAAAATACTTAAAAGATTAGTCCTGGTCACATTCCTCTATTATAGGCAAGATTTATGTTGGAATTCAAAACTTAAGCTCTTCAGTGTATTGATACCCCAACTGTGACAATGTCATAGCTTCCTTGTATTTATTGAGATGATTGTATTTAGTCTGTTTCACAATCAACATACACTGAGTTTTAAACCATTTGCAAAATATCAGAATAAACTATATATATATCAGTTAGACTGTTTTGATTCTAAATCAATAACAACGGAAGTGTGGGTCTTACTAAAACATAAAGATAGTAAGTAGAAAAAATACAAAATTCTTGCATGGTAGTAGTACTACTACTAATAGTATGTACAAATCACACAAGTTTATCATTCTAAATACTGAATCATATTCTTATTATGAACTAAATATAAAATTATGCTTACTTATTAAACTTAAAACTACTAATTTAAATGCAAAAGAATATAAAAAATCACAAACTCTTTCAGTTCAAAGTGCTAAGCCTAATTCACTTAAAGACCATGCACTTGCCACTTGATAGATCTGAATCGTAACATTCGTGGATCAACTACTTTCCTAAAAAATATATCTGAGTTAATTTTTCAATACAATGATTAATATTAATCAAAGTCTGATACAGCATGACTTAAGCTGCTATAGAAAAAATAATAAGTCATATACATCCCATGTAGTTTTTTCCAAAAGCAAATTTTCTATAATGAGCACCCTTCATGTTCATATTGTAAAATCCAAAGAACAATGTTTCATCACGTGCTTTGCTTATCATCCTATGATTTGTCAAATGTGAAATACAGCGATTGGAATAACATGGTACTGAAATTGACACCTTCAACTAGGATTGGCTAAAAGTTTTACAACCGAGGTTTAACATGCCCAGACTAGAAAAAGGTTTAGATACCAATCATAGATGGCAGGGCCAGCACCAAAGTACAAGGAAAATTTTGTTTTCTCAGATGGCACTTGTTTATAGTCTCAAATATATTTTGGAATTTTTCAAAATTAAATTTCTCTTTAAACTTCATTAAATAATATAATTTTGTACAAATAATTTAATAACAGAGAGAGTAAAAGACAATTAATCAAAGTTCAGGATGAAGTATTAGCATATACATTTTACAGCCAAAAATAAATTCATAAGAATTCGAGAAATATGTTGATAATCTATAATTTATGTGAATTATATATTTACTTCTCCTGGCTTCTGTATCTGCATCAGGTGATTTGTTAATGCAGGATCACATTCAAATATGTATGATAGATATTTCTTAACACATTTTAGCTTTTCTTTAACAATAAAAATACAAAAATAATAGTTTTGATACATAACACAATCTTCTTGTGTAAAGTTTATCAAAAAATCTGAAAAAACATCTAAAATATCTGTAATATTTTTTTGTATATGAAATATATAATGTAGATTTCAAATTTTTCTGCAAATGACTAAAAAACTGTAAGATGTATATAGCATCTACAATTGGATTTCCACAATTGTAACTGAATTTGCACAGTAAATTTAACATAGCACAAATATAATAGACAATGTCTTAATATTCCATTTATCTCGGCAGAAATAAGACTAAAGAAGTAATACATGTTCCATGAATACACTTAACCTGAATCATGATAGATGTTATCTGTAAATTGTGCTGCAAATTGTAGGGTCGCCGAAATGGATGTTGGTGTTTTCAGGTCAGTTTCTTTGTGATGGGAATATCCAAAAGTCCACATGACAGAACAACATACAACTTACACCAGCCTTGCATTGACAGTAACATGCTGAAATGAATGGAATAGAATTGGCAGAATACTTGTTCTTTAGCAAATTCTTTTTACTGGATCATGCCTTAAGTCTGGACTTTTGTATCTAATGCAATTATCATTTTCCTTGCTGAACTTAATATTATACAATACATCTGCAGAAAGATGTTTATAAGCATATGTTTGTACTTGTTGAAGCTGTAAATGCCCAAGGTAAGGGAATGAAGATTATCTTCAAATAACTTCTTTTCACTCAGAAGATGAATTTTTAGTTCCAAATTATCAGATCCAGAAACAAATATCCCTTTGTTATTTCTTCTAACATGTTAAATAGCACATCTATGTGCTTTATGTACTATGAATTAGGTAATTGTATACTGACTGTCAAAGAATGGAAGGTTATCTATGTTCTTTATGCACTGTAAACTAGGTAATTGTGTATTGACTGTCAAAGAATGGAAGGTTATCTATGTTCTCTATGCACTGTGAACTAGGTACTTGTGTACTGACTGTCAAAGAATGGAAGGTTATCTATGTTCTCTATGCACTGTGAACTAGGTACTTGTGTACTGACTGTCAAAGAATGGAAGGTTATCTATGTTCTTTATGCACTGTGAACTAGGTACTTGTGTACTGACTGTCAAAGAATGGAAGGTTATCTATGTT